AGAAGCCAAAGGCTCCACCAACCCTGCTGCGCCCTTCGGAAGCACCACTCTGATTTTTGACCCTATCAGCTGCAGTCGAGCCAACAGGTGAAAACGCAGGTGTCTTCGATATCTCGTCACACGCTGCAATCCCCATAGCACAAATGATGGGGAAACGGGCCTTTTCCCAGGAAAAAGTAAAAAGTATCCAGATCTTCGTGCACACATCCCTGAAACATACTGGAACTACTCTTCCCAAACATCGATAGTTCCTCAATTCCTGGACTTCTGAACAGGTTCAGCAAAACCTGTCTGCTTGGGCTATGGCCCAAGGCACCAGGATGATCCTGTTTCACAGCTCACTCTGTGAGCCCATCTCCGATGGGTCGCAAAAAGCTGTCAAGAGATAAAACCAACGAGTTCGTCCTTGAAAAAATCCGTCTTGTTTGTTGACATCCAAAATGATTTTAACATTATTGTGAATAGATTAATCCGTACCGAGGTTTCGATCCATACCTCGATTTGGACTGACCAACTGGCCCAGAAAACTAGTTTTCCCTGAATGAGATCCGTCCTCGCTGGCAAAAAGAAAAGATACACAGGTTTCTCTTGGACTCTGCCACAAGAGAAGGGTCACCTCAATGAGGCACTCTGGCAAAGTAGGGCATAGCCGGCATAGCAACACAAGCTCTTGCACCTGTCCCAAGGAAGTGTGAATTCCTCGGGGACACTGTATGTGAACACATGGGGGTTGAAATTCCAAACACCCTGCGGGGAGGGCAAACGTGAAGCTGCAAGTTTTGGCTGGGAGAGTTGGTAAATGCCAGCTCCAAGCATTCAGCCCAACCCCCTCTAGATTGCAAGGCTTGCTGGATCATATCTATTACATTGAACATGCTACCCGTTGCATGATTCAATTTGTGGTTCAAAATAAAAGCAAAAAATCCCGCCACCTGACTGTCTCTGCATATTCAGAAACGCACTCTTCCCGCTTACGCTGCATTCTGAATAACATGGCTGGCATGGTTCATTTCAAATTGCCCAAAACCAAAGCTGGAGCAAAGTTAAAGTTGCATCCCTTTGCAGTGGGGTAGCTGGATAATTCAAAGTTGATTGCAATTGAACTGCAATTGGCACTGTTTGTTTGTCCAACATGTTGAACCGAACTTGTCAAATCAGCAAAAACCCACTTGCACAAGCAGCCCTCACTGACCCGGACTCTCAAAGCTGGGAATGGTCACTGGGTCCTTCTCCTGAGCGCGGTTTTTAGAAGATATGACAATGAAAGGAAAAAACAACATTTATTCACATGTTGCATTTCATTTGGTCTTAAAGGATTTTTCATTCTAATCTGAAAACGACCAAAAATCAACTTCTTTCATATATAATGGATCACTTCCTGTTTATGGTATTGTTCAATTGCAATTTCTTAGTAAAAAATTACCAAAAACAATTATTACGTGTATTGTATCTAATTGCACTTCAAGGCCTACGGGATATCTATGAAGGTGTTGTATATATGTATATATGAATATATACGCCTACATATACTTATAGAACTTATCTCAATTCGATGAAATGCAATTGGTCACAATTTGGCCTACTGTATTGGATTTTGCACACCAATAAAATATGGATATGGATGGATATGGTAGGTTTATGACAGGAAAACACATTGTGACCAAACATTTGCAATCACATACTTGTCCTATCATCATCACTCCATATATTTGGGAAGCTTGTCTTTCTGCTAATCGTTAGATCCAACACTTATAAGAAGATAATTGATAAAATTCCGTTAGCATCTGCATCGCTATCTTTCTCATATGTTTCCGCAAAAATGTGCTTGGGGCCGCCGGGCCAAGGCATACATTTCTGAGACCAAGCCACTCATGCTCATGTTGTTCAACTGGGACATGTTAGGTATAGTTGTATAGCGCATGGTTGGGAACATGAAAAATCACATCCTATAGAAAAACATATGTGAAAGTGCACCCGATTTCGCCGTCTGATGCGCTTTTCTGCGCGTGCGTCAACGCGGTCAGCTCAAGGGCCCTGTGAACCCAAAATGGTAGCAGGTAGCAGAATGTAATGTTAAATTAGTATTAGTAAGGTGGCCCGTAATTTAAAAAAAAACTTTTTAGAAAAATCGTATCCAATTTGATTTAGTCTTGGACCAAAAGGATCCATAATTAGCAATTTCCCACACCCAGGATCCATACTTAAAAGAACGATCTTAAAAAATCAACGCAGATCCTTGCACAGGCACAGACATCATGGCTGCAGATTCTTCAGATTGTTGCTCGCAAGAGCTAGTATCAGTACGAAGTTCCCCTTGACTTGATGAATGGAATGAAACACAAACCGAAAGGTGGCTGAGTCGGCGAACTTGTAGATGTTTAACAAAGCTTCAACTCCTATGCATTAGCCGCTTTACTGAATACCTAGCAGACCACCTATGCATTAGCCGCTTTTACTCAATACCTAGCAGACCGCCTATGCATTAGCCGCCTTTACTGAATACCTAGCAGACCACCTATGCATTAGCCGTTTTACTGAATACCTAGCAGACCGCCTATGCACGAGCCGCTGTAAACAGTTTTAAACAGTTTTGCACTCAGTTTTGCAGGTACGTTTCACACCTACCACTGCCGGTCTTCGTTGGCCACAGCAGCAGTGGCAGGTCTGTGGCCCCCTGCCTCTTTTTTCCGCGCTGAGAAACATATATATGTTAGTAGCGATACCAGGAGCCCTTAGTAGCAAAACCAGGGGCCCTAGTAGCGTTCTTTGTGACTGAAAACCTTAGGCACAGGTGTGGACACACACACACACGAAGCCGTACTCGGCGCACTGTCCCTTGCTTGCAGTTTTGTAGCGTGGCCAGGAGTCGCTAGTAGCGTCCTTACACCCCGTAGAAAGGTCAGAGGCCCCTAGGAGTACCGTCCTGGCTCCTGGTAGCGAGGCCAGAAGCCCCTAGTAGTGTTGTTTGTCGCAAAGCTTTGTACACATAGCGCCAATACTGGCGCTTTTTTGAGAAGTACTAGCCACCTAAATTGCCTTAGAAAGACAATGAAAGCAACAAAACAAAAGCAGACTAAGAGGGCAAGAAAGAAAGATAGGTGTAGTTACGAGGCCCACTTAGTTAAATGAAAGTAGAACGCGAGCGGGACATTTTGTCTTAAACCGCCCGGGTAGCTAGCAATAGGAAAGGAGAAACAGAAGGAAAGGCACCAACGTTGAGTGCGATTTCCTTCTGTTGCCCGAATAGCGGGTGGGATAGCAACGGAGGCCCAGGGGCAGGGAGGTAGGGGGAGGGTGGGTTGGGGTGGCCCGTAGGCTTGCCATCATTGGCATTCAAGTAAAGCCGATTTGGGCCGGCGCAACCCATTGTCTGAAAGACACCTGGAACCTAAAGAAAGGTCTCAAGAAACGAAAAGCAACAAAAAGAGAGAGAAAGAACCGAAGAGCATGAAAAGCACATGCAACAAAAGCAGTCGGTGGTTTGACATGCCCGCGTCCTAAGCCCCGCCTGTGATTACTTAGACGGGCGTGAAAGTGCAAATCAGAATCGGTTATTAAATTTCCTGGGGGCGACCTTGGCTACCACGTTTTAGTGGGTTTGTCAGGACGGTACCATCCAGGCACTGTCCTGCCAGGCCAATTTCAAGAGTGATCCAATAGATGTGAGCTAAGCGCCTATGGGCTCGAGGCAGCCTTGGCTACAGCTGATAACCTGGTTACATGGCTTGTTTTTTTGTTCTCACTCACAGCATTTTAGGAATCAGCTGAATTGCACAACTGGCCAGAGAGACATGCTTGACAGAACTTGAGCCAAATTGTCTTCAACACATTTTCCTAACAACCTGCAACTTGAAAACAACCTCGCTTCTTTTTTTGGGTTTGTAACAACCCTACCTACTAGCTTGCTTACCATGACGCGAGAAAAAGGGTTCATTCCTAATTCCCAGCTAACTTCACCTTCTCAACACAGTGGAAGGAAACAACATTTGGGGGACCGGTGGATGTAGCCACATATTAGCCTGGAACAGAAGAACAACCTATAACGAATGGCCCTGGCAAACCACAGCTGCACAGCGCAGCCTCCAATCATGTGATTCTCTACTTTGCTGGCTTTGACAAAGAAAGAACAGTGAACAAGTTTGTCAAAACCATACATCACACTCCAGGGAAAGGTATATTTGACGAGCACTAAACGTTGGAACTGCAAACACTCGGCAAATTACGCGTCCTAAGCCGCACAGGAGAGAGAAGAAAACCGCGGTCGCTACCAAAAATGGAAAAAACTGGCCACCAAGGAGTCAGTCCCACTGCTCAATAACTAAAACAAACGTTCAGACTTAGTGGATTTTTGAACTGAAGCGTCGCCACCTTTGGTGGCTTCAAGCGTCTTGCTTTGGCATGCCAGTTGTTCTGACTGACCAAGGCACCTCCCTTGTTATTACCTGCTGTCTCGCAAGCCATGGTGGTGGAAACAAAGCGGAAGCTTTCTCACAAACATGGCGGTGGAAACAAGTTGAAGCTTTCAACTCGAAAACATTTCTGCATAAGTGTGATGGTTGGTGGCACATAAGAACCCTTTCGCGGGTCACACCACCATCTATTGACACGTCTTGCCCCTTGCGCCCGTCTCATACGCAAAGTGTGGGACAGCAGGAGCTTTCATCGACAGACCTTGGAAAAACGAGCATGACCAAAGGCTTTCTGAAACTGCAGAAGTGGTTGACAATGCACCTCTGTCCAGGAACCAGCTGAAAGCATCGCTGAACTCAGAGAACAAAAACAATGACCGATCGTCCTTGTTTTCTCTTCTCTAGTGCACCGGCGTCAAAACCATCTAGAGGCTTACACAGCAGAAGGCTTTGAGTGGCAGGCCCCATCTGCAAACAAAAAACAACTGTTGAGAGTTGCTTGCTACAAGTTTTGCGCAGAATGCCACTCTCCCTCTGTCTCAGCTCAGCCTAAGGCTCAGGAGCCTCCAAACTGAAGCCACAAGTCACACATCACCCTTTCGTGACAAGTTGGATCAAAGCCCCCAAGAGCTTGACCTCCTGAGCCATCTTCTTCTTGTCTGGTTCTGTCAGCTTTGCTGCAGCCCCAGCGTCATTCAGATCTTTTTCCAAATCCTGCTTTCTGTTTTTCAAAGCGCTCAAGCCATTATCATGAGCTGCAGCTTTGCAAACCACAGGGGCTCGGATGCCCACGGTGGCCTGCTGAACCAACTCACCAACAAGGAACCCGTAAGGCATGAAGAGACAATCTCCTGCTCCCATGGTGCCTGCCCATAGAGTGCACTCCTTCTGGTACTCTGAAAGCAAGGGCACCGTCATCGATCTGAAAAAGGATGACATCTTTGCCAAAGTTACAGCACTAATACCCTTCCGTTCCATGAACCGCTGCATCTGCAGCATCTCGGTCATGATGACCAGGCGTGTCCCTTCCACAGTGACTCGACACACTGCGCTGCCCAAGAACTCAGCAGACACTTTATCGTAGCCTCCATCAATTCCAAACATGCTGAATGGCAAAGCATCTTTCAAGTCACCATAGTTCTCGACAGGGACCCAATCTTTGCAAGCTTGAAACATTTCAGTGAGCTGGCCAGCCACTGCTTTGGCATTGGCTTCCTCGGCAAAGCTCTTGGAAACTCGGATGCCCTTGGTTTTCGTGCGGGCTTCAGTGAAGGCATCCTTGAAGCTGGCAATTTCCTTCTGTGACACTGAACCATCTTCTGTGAACTTGGACACCCATGTTGAGACATCCATGGCCCAAGGCTTGGAGAAGTCAATGCCTGCCTGGCCAGATGCAATTCGTGGAATGGCATTGGCTTGGTTGACACCTTGGTCAAACACAGGATGGGAAGGCGAGCCATCTGCAGCCTTAGCCTTGCTAGCCTTGGAAGCATCGGCTTGTTGCTTCGCTTGGCGCTTGGCTAGCTGCTCTATTGCGCTTTTCACTGCCTTGGAGGCCCTTGAGGTAGCTTGCAGCAACTGTTGAAGAGGCGACCGGATTGCATTGATCTCTGCTGTGACCTCCTGACAGTGGCCACTGAGAACCATGAATGGCAACAACTTGGATAACAAAGAAGGCAAGCCAGTAGCGTAACTTAGAATTGAAAAAAGGCTTCTTAGGTAAAGAAAGTTCAACGCTTGACCGAAAACCTGTTCAACTCTCCCCAGCTGTGCCCTGGAAAATTTTCACATATTCATTCAACTTTGTGTTGCCACAAATGAAAGCAGCAAAAGTTCCAAAGCTCAACACATCAAGCACCCTCTCCTTGACATGCGCAGGCTGAGTGCACTTGTGGTATTGAGAAACTGATTCCTCCAGCGCTTTGAAAGGCCTCAGCGAGGCGTAGGCCTCACAAGGCGGCGCCTTGCCAAGCTCCACTGGTGATGCCTCCATAGTCGAACAGTCTGCAGCTTCATCGGTCGAAGGAGCAGCTGCAAAACGAGCAACGTATGCCTTGACTTCATCTGGATCTTCGCGCTCCTTGGCGAGCAAAAGTGAGACACTGGACATTCAATGGGCGTTGCAAATTCAAATTAAAGACTCCTACCAAACACATGTGACACAAGAAGATGAGACGGAACAACTGAGGCCTGGTCCATCACAATCCCCAATGCTTCCACCCGGTTTTCCAAGATCTTTATCTCACCAGCAAAATTCTTCTGGAAAAGCTGGTCTGGGTTGGCTTTGTATTCAGACAATGCTTTCCGACAATCTTGAAGGCCGGACTCACATTTGGTTTTGAACACCTTGATCTGCGATTCACATGACCTGACTGTAGCTGAGATCACCCTGTCACGGTCCACCCATGGTTTGGTCTTCTCTGGCGATGTGTTGTCAGGGTCTTCCTGCTCTTCTGCCGGCGTCTCTGCTGCCTTCTCGGCTGCACCAGCCAAGTCCATGATATCCAAGAGAAAGCCATCATTGTTCTGGAAAGCTGCTTCCCCATTTCTGGCCAATGCCTGACAAACCTGGATTTGGTCTGCAATGGGGTCATGCTTGGATGTGACCTTGTTCTTCATCCGCTCAATGTCAGCTTGGCTGGCATTCTTCTTGGTCTCACCTTCCATGTTGACAGACTTCTCCTGGAAGTAGCTGGTGCGAAATCGCATTTCATCTCCAGTGTGAACCCAAATCCTCAGGCTTGAATTTTCCCCAAGGTAGTCACTGAAGATCTCAGGGTCGCCGGCAGCAATTCTTGTCTCCCAATAAGCCCATTGAGCAAGCGCTTGATCATCCGTCTTTCTTCCACCCCTGACCGTTTGGGCAAACTCAATGAACAGCTTCTTCCCCATCATCTCTCCGACTTTGTCTTTGACAAAACCAGAAGCTGCCACAACACGCTCTTGGTACTTGGCTACTGACCATGTGCCCCTTTTCTTGTTCTTGGCGCCTTCAGCGCATTCTGGGCAAAGAGCCATGTAGCTTTGCACCATCGAGAAGCACTTATCGGGATCATCACGTTGCTCCTTGAAGAACGCAACCGCCTCCTTGCCTTGTCTGGCAGCAAGCTTTGAAATGTTGTCCAATGCTCTTTTGCAAGACTTGCAGCCAGGAAAGTTTGCTGCCTGCTCTTCAGGTGTGATCTTTTTCTTGCAACCTTTGCAGCTGGAAACACCAAACTTCTGGCGCTTCTTTGGAGCGGCTTTGGCCACAGGGGCAGAACCGTCTGGGTCAAGGGTAGCTTCTTCAGCCGATCGCTTCTTGGGTCTCCCTCGTGTTCCCTTACCCTTCTCCTGCCCTTTCCCTTCACCTTTGTTCTGGCTCTGGGTCATCAACAGTTGTATTTCGTGATCGACCGAATCTTGAGCTTGGGACACAGCATCCTGCTCCACCTCCATATTAGGCCGCAAAGAAAAAACACAGGAAGGGGCTTGAGCAAACTCTGGTGGATGGCATGGGAAGCTGGTCGCTGGGCGCTCAAAAACAAATTGAAGCAAAGAAGGTCGTGGAGCCATGGAGCAGGCAGTTAGTTTACCAGTGAGATTTGAAGGGAGTTCATTGGCATCTGAGAACCGCGCTGCAGAGTCGATCCAGCACGGCCTGCAAACACCAATCGCCAAGCGAAACAGATTAGATCAACCAACGTTAATGCCTTTCCTTTGCCCTCAGAAAACAAACATGCTGCCTGGATCAGACCTCCATTATCATACATGTGTTCTCAGGTGGTCCTGTAGGATCAACCAGGCGTTGGGCAATCAGGCGCACTCAGCAAAGACTGAATGTTTCAACTTCAGGTATGATGAGGGAACACTTGTAACCAGAGGGCCCTCAACCAAAAAGCACATTTTCACAGCTCACTGACATCACTCTGCCGGTACCCCCAGATAAGATGCTGCGGATCATTTCAAAATGAATCTACCGCCACTGCCCAGCTATGCATGATTGGTTCAGCCCAAGCATTCCCAAAAAGATGTCTATCTCAAACAAAGGAATCAAAGGCATCACAGAAAGGGTGAGTGTAGCGTATCCCTTGGCTGACCATCATGCTGGAACCCGACCCCGCGTCATGGCAAGGCAGTAGGCCAGGAAGAATCCAACCACGCGACAGTGCATCTGATTCCCCGTCAACCTGATGATGTCCGACGCCTTCTGCTTGGACAAGAAATCAGCGCTCCATGGGCTCTTGTCGTTCAACTCTTCAAGCAACCCTGGCACAGGCCACCCCATGGCCAGCATCATCTCCAAGGGCAGCATTCCCCGAGCATGCCACTGGGACCATGGCGAAGAGCCACAAAGGAAAGATGGAAGGTTGGAACTGAGTCGCTGTCGCACTGCCACATTCTGACTGAGGTCAATCACTCCACACATCTCTCGCGACAAGATCATGGAGTCCAACAGCTTGTTTAGTCCTGCAGATGGAGCTTGGACCCAACATCCAACGCCGCATCCATGGCCACCTTGTCACCTGGAGCAACTGGGATGCCCTTTTGGTGCAGCAACTTGCGCCTCAAATGCTCCTGAACCATGTCCTCAGGGGCCAGGAAAAAAGCATGCCCATCTACATCGATTGGATGTTTGGCAACATCCAGAAAGTCCTGCCGGGTGAAGTGCCGCTGCAAGTCCATTGTCGTGGTGTTGATGGTCCAGCTGTAGTTCCTCCAGCGGACCATGGGGACACCAAGGTCTTCACACTTCACCTTCAAGACGATGGTCTTGAAACCTTCTCCAAAGGCTTCATGGAAAGCCTCCTGCGTGTTGAAAAGAGAAGAACATTCTTGCAAAACAAAATCCACTTGTCTTGCGCGAGTTTTGGCCAGCCAAAGGGCAGTCACAATCGCTGAGCGGTGAAGCCACCTTCCATGTGTGCCCTGCTGTGAGAAAGCAACGCAGCTGTTTCCACCTGCTTCCAAAACCTTGTCTCCTTCCGACAGCGTTGGCCAGAATTCGCACTCTCCGTCATGAACGTAGCACCAGCCTGAGGTATTCACACGGCCATCTGCGATTGCTGCTTTGGCTATAGCCAGCAGCTTCATCACGCAGCGTTTGCTGATTGAGTCCATCACCTTCTTCTTTGAAGTCTCATTCTCACCCCCGGCCTCTGCTGCTTTCTCAGCCCGCTTCTGCATGACAGTGCAGCAATACTGCATTTGCTCAATCACACTTGGCTGAAACTGCTCACCAATGTCACCAAAAAGATGCTTTGGACAATGGTCAGAGTTCAAAATGAAATGGCGCGCCACCGGGTCAATCTCATGGCCAGAGTACAAAATCGGGCAAGTGCAATTGTAGACTTTTGCCACCCGGCCTCTATCGAATCAATCACTGCTGGCAGGAGGACGAGGACGAGGAGGATGAACTAGAATCCGAATCTGAACTAGAGCTAGAACTGCTGCCACCATCTGCAACTGCAACTTTTGCCTTTGCTGATGGCTTGGCCACTGCTTTTGTTTTGGCAGCAGCAGATTTAGATTTCTGTTTAGGTTTTGCTTTCTCCTTAGCACGTTTTGCCTTAGGCTTCGGTTCACTGGCGCCACCTGTCTTTGGCGCTGAAGTCTTTTCCTTGGCTTTGGCTTTTGAAACAATTTTGCTAGCGGCTTCTTCTTCTTCATCCAACTCCACATCTGTTTTGACAGAAAGGGGCGGATGGTCTGCTCGCGCCTGCATCAAAACTACTGACTCCAAGGGCAAATCACCAGGCGAGAGTGGCATTCGAATGTGATCCCTCTGACGGCTGAAGCGGCGTGACTGGTTGCACCAATGCTTCAATAGAAGAATGCATCGGCACCTCGCCTCCTCACTGGCATCCTCAAACCTAAGAAAACGTTTGCAACCGGTCTTGTCATTTTTTTTGTGCCACCTGCATTGCGCTTCAATGCCCCCATGTGGAGGCGCTGACCGTGGCTGTTTCACTGAAAAAGAAAAGTCGCCGTATTTCGCAATTCCCCGGACAAACAAGTCACTGGCATTGGCATCATCCGCTACTGGATCAGACACATGCGGCTTGGAACCAGAGCTTGGGGCAGCGTCACCACCTGAAGACGAAGGTATTCCAGACTCACCTTCCGCCTGGTCAAGCACAGGGCCATCAAGCAATGCGCCTCAGGAGGGTCTGCCAAGGGGCTTTGAGGAACATCAAGACCAAGATCGACCTCAGCCTCATCGCTGGCAGGGCTGAAACCTCTAGACCTCTTGGCAGTTTCGTGGCGGGGCTCTGCCTCAGCTTGATCTGCTAAGTCAACATCTGCTTCCAAAGCTAGAGGAACGCTTTGCTTTCTCTTCTGTTGCAATGCTTTTCGGGCAGCATCCTTTGGACACATCCCTCCAAAAATGTGCTCATAAGTGTCTGCCATCTGCCCATGAGGGATTTCATTGATGCCAAAAGATTCAGCAAGCCTACGGGCGTCCAACAAACACATCATATAAAAACGAGAAACTGTCACGCCTGATGTGTACCACAACAAATCATTCCCAGGCTTGTAGGAGAGGTCTTTTTGTTGCTTAGCAGGCAGATGCAACCATTTCCAACCTTGCGAACGCATTTCTGCCAACAATTGCAAATCCGACATGTCAGCCAACAGTGGGCCGCCCATAGAAGCAAGGGGTTTGTGGGAACCCAACTCCCTGAGAAAATCCATTCGTTGGATTGCCAATTCTGTCAGCAAATACCCCCCATCATGTGTTTCTTTGGCAAACCTGTTGGAGACCAAAGCTTCCATAGATGGGGTTTCTTTTTCTGGAGGCACAAAACTTTGCTCAGTTTTGGGGAAAGCGCCATGTTGCATCATGGACCAAAGCAGCTTGGAAACTTCCCCACCCATCAGCGGCAAGACATACTTGATGTGACCATGCTTAGACCAACACCAAAGACTTTGGAGGAGCTGATCAATTCCCATGGACTCAACGAGGGGTCCGATTGACATCACTTCAGACCGTCCAACTACAACAGAAGACACTAAAGGCTTTGCACGTGTACCTCGGTTTTCAAAAAGTGTGACGATGATGTCGTTCCGCTGAAAACTCTTCAGGGTGCATGGTGCATGCACTGGGCGCCTCATCTGAGAAGGCTGCAGCAAGACTGGAGTAAACAATTTCAACACCTCGACATCGCCCTGTTTGAGCACGATTGAAAAAACACGCCCAGGGTCACTCCATGCGAGGTCACGAACACAGTCACTCACCAAGTTGGCCACAAGCGAGTGTTCAGTTACAGGTTTCTGTTTCTGTTTCAAGTTGAACTGGGCATGAGCATGCTCTATGGCCTTAGTTTCCCTTGTTTGGACCTGCACAGCCTCTTCATTCTCAGCAAACTGCATCATGGAATCCCGGTACAATGCATGACGGGCGAAGGCTAAGAGCAAATCTCGCTTCTTGCTCCGGCCAACCTTCAGTAGCTCAGGGTGGTTGCGATGGCATGGAAACATGTCAGCAAAATGGGCAAACTCGCGGGCTTCACCAAATGCATCCACCAACATTGAAAAGCCTTGTGGGTTTAAAGCCAAGAACTTGTCCAACTCAGGGAGTCTCATGTTCAGAGAAAGCATGGTCATGCGAAAGTTCTTTGGGCGAGCGTGGCCTAAGTCTTTATGAGCGGCCTCGATCAAACGTTCCGCAACTTGAACGAAACTGAATGGTGCAAGATAAGCTTCCAAGTCTGGGTAGTCTTCCAGTGTCTGCGACGAAGCAAGGAAAGCATTCAGCTGATTGTTCAAAACAGTCTCTTTGCTGTCAAAAAGCTTCTGAGCAACGCTGTGCTGGCAATCCTTGGCTTTTGGCGGCAAAGCATCCCACAAGGACTTGGCATGCGTCAGAGCAGCGCGAGCAACATCTGCAACAGGATGCGCCCCTCCGAAAATTGCCCAAGGAAGGTTTGAAAAAAAAATCCAACCGAGTCTTCAACTCCTCCAAAATCACCCTTGATCCATGCTGCCACTCTGCGAGCAAAAGTGACCACTCATCTTGGGACAGTCGCTCTTCACAATTTCCAATGAACTCACGACTGGTTGAATTAAGCTGCTCTTCGAACACTGACAACTTGTCTTGCGCTAGGAATGGTGCTTGGCACCCGGCCATTGGACAGCGGTGAGGAACCCCGGGCGGGCAATCAATTTCTTGATTCAACACAAAATCCATGCGCTTTTCGAAGTCTGTGTCCAACGCTCCCCCATCAAAATCCATCCCACCATGGCACCCACACCCCTCTGCCCAAGACGTAAACTTTAGCAAAAGCTTTCGAATGGCAAGCTGCATGCGCCAAAACACCAGAAAGTAGTTGTCTTTCACTATGTTTGTGACATGAGAAGGGGACCAACCAGCTTTCGCAGAAGGAGCATTCTTATCAGGCGTGTCTAGGAAACGAACTTCATCCCAATGAGCACGCAGAAAGAGGAGCAATGGCAAAGATTCTTCAAGACAAATGGCGATAACATTCCACCTCTCGGTGTAAATTGAAGTCAGTTTCCTCAAGAACAACTGCTTGGCCCGGTCATAATGCAATGTGCCCCTCATCGCAACTTCCACAAACCGACTGCAACGCTGTGGGTCGCCCAAGAAGCGGTACAGTGTTTTCAGCTTTTGAAGGAAATCGTCAAAGCCATGAAAGGCATCGTTCAACTTCCCTGTGGCATTGTGAATGGCGTGGCATATGCCTGGAACTTGAACTGCGTTAGGCATGAGGGGCGAAGCTCGGACGTCAGCGTCTCCTGGTTCAAACACTGGACCTACATCAAGCGCGTCGTCATCAGCGTGTTGGATGTTCACTCGGGATGGCCGCAGCCAGTCCGGTAACACTTGCTCTGCCTGCAAGACATGAAAGCTGGGGAGGCCAGCTTCAGTTCCCATGTCCGAGCACCAACACACATGACTGGCAAAATGTTCATCCAACTTGCTAAGGTTCTCGGATTCCAGCAAGCTAGCGTGCACATGGGCAGACACCTTGTCACTCAAAGCTGTTTTCTTGTTGCCCCGGAGCTGCGGCATGAGCGTGTGCATGTGGATGGATTGAAACAAGAGAGTTGAAAGCTCACGCCGCTTCTGAGCAAGATCCCTATCCATATCCTTTACGAAAGGATGTGTGCACAAAAAGCGCCACGCACGAGCCAGTTGTACACAATCAGCTTTCTTGAGCCAGCGATACCGAGCATTGTAAATTTCCATGTCCCACTTGTCAGTGGCATCTCCCCACGCAAACTTGAAAACTTCACCAGCCGATCCCAAACGCGTTCTATGCAGAAGTTGCAAGGCCATATCTAGGATCAACTCACTCCTGTTCAAAGTGCTACCACTGGCAATCTTGTTGGAAACCCAGCTATCAAGGAAAGGCCTCAAAGCGGAGGGCAGCAAGTTGACAAATTTGGCTGCGTGCGCTTGAAGTGTGGCTTTATTCTTTAAATCTAAGCTGGAGAGAACTTGTTGCACCAAAGCATCGGAAGGGAATTTCATCCGCCGAACCTTTGAGGCAGCTGGGAATCGCAAAACCTGCAAGGCATACAAATGGTTCCGCAAACGTCGCAGCTGACTACTCACCTCGAAACTCAAGCCACAGGCCTCATCTTCATCCAGGGTCACCTCAATAACCTGCTGGCCTAATTTCCTGAAATTGGACATGAGACCTTGAAGAGCCTCATGCGTCAGCAGCTCTTCCCTCACTCCCACCTCATCCCTTTCTTTGTCGATGGATGCTGTGACACGACCTAACCACTCTGCAGACAAACCTTCTGTCAAGGAAGGAAAAAACCGGTGCGTCCAACGAGCCAACATAGGCACTTGATGATGCGCTCCGCACAAAACAGAAAAAACAAGGTCGGCTGGCAAGCACAAAACAGAGAGCTGACTAAGGCCCTCCAGCTTCGACACAGATGAGCCTAACGTTGAATAGCTATCCATGGCAGGTTTGCATACACTCATGTCTGCAACATCTTGCTGCGAAGGTCTGACATTGCCCAAGGTCCAATCTTCAATGCAAAACACCATGGAAGTCTTGTGCGATTTTGCACCAACATCACACTCGCTCCATCGAACTTGGACCTTTGTCTTTGAACAACGAGGATATTTCAGTCGGGTCAACAAGAGCTTCTGCTCCCACACTGGAAAAAGAAAAGTATCATGCACCTCCATGTTGTAAGAATCTTTGGCTTCACCGTGGTATGCATATTTCAAAGCTAGGCATGAATCACTCCAACCCGGCGACAATTCATCTGCGAAAGGGCAACGTGCGCTCACCTTGGCCACCCCTCTGACCACAAGATCACGGCTTGGTGGTTTCTCACCAAAGTTGAAACTGCCAGCCAGCACGGCGTGTTGTTGCTTCAACGCTTCCAATCGCTCCTGCTCACCTGAAGGAAGCAAAAGAGCGCTTGCCCTCTGCACTGGCCCTAGCTTCCGAGGATCAATCCAATCCTCTCGGCAAACTAAAAAGACCCATTGGCACGGACCGGGCATGAAACGAACAAACCTGGTGGTGAAACAATACTGTCATATGCAGCGTTTAATCGTGTACATATTCGTAAGGGAAACCAATTCAGTGTTGTTGAGAGGACTGCAACAACGCCAAACAGAAATCATACCTGCAAGAGTTCTTTCAAACCAGTTCTGAACAGTCTTTTTGCAAAAGAAACACGGTGCAAGAACAGATACGACGCATTGACGCCTTTCAGTATGCGCTTTGCCAGAGCACTTGTGGAAGTCAATCACCATTCCTTTCCCATGCGTGTTTGTGACCTTTCCCGTTTGGGCCGGCCGAGCATACGTTGAAAGCACTTAGGTATGTATGTAGATACAGGTCTACTAGATGGGTTTATCCTCAAAACTTCTTCACAGAATCTTACATGACCCCTTCGCAATCACAGATCACCATCAATGATTCAACTTCTCAACACCCGACAAAACAAGCCAGCTTGGCTCTAGAACAATCAAGTTTGATCTTTTTCGGTACCCAAAAAAACACCCTCGCAAAAAATGATAGCTTCCCCTTTAAAGGGAAACATCTTTTCCTTTTTCCACGGACGCGACAGCCATGGCCGAGCGCAACTCGGCCATGGCTGCTCATGTAGGACATCTACCTTTTCATTTCCACCGCAAGCTGAGGCACACCAGAGCCATGCTAATGTGAAACAATGCTTATTTGCCATTTCCACCGTTGCATCAATGAGGACAATTTTTTCTGTGGGGGAACCCACCATTTGGCCAGAATGCCAGAAATGTTGGTAACCAAACTCGCTTAGGGAATTTCAATAGAATCGGTTGAAATCTCAGTAAGCCCTGCGGCACAGTTTCAGTAAGCCCTGCGGCGCTGGATCAGTGGTATCAAGCAAAGACGGTCAATCCAAAATGCAAGTCCGGACTGGAGTGTGAGTCTCAGTAAGCCCTGCGGCATGGTATCCCCCAGGATCTGGGTCTATGCACATGCAGCGCCCCTCGACGGGGATCACACCACAGCCCTCAGTGGGACCCTGTGGCGAAAACACACTTAGATTGTTGCTCGCAAGAGCTAGTATCAGTACGAAGTTCCCCTTGACTTGATGAACGGAATGAAGCACGAGAACCGAAAGGTGGCTGAGTCGGCGAACTTGTAGATGTTTAACAAAGCTTCAACTCCTATGCATTAGCCGCTTTACTGAATACCTAGCAGACCGCCTATGCATTAGCCGCTTTACTGAATACCTAGCAGACCGCCTACGCATTAGCCGCTTTTACTGAATACCTAGCAGACCGCCTATGCATTAGCCGTTTTACTGAATACCTAGCAGACCGCCTATGCACGAGCCGCTGTAAACAGTTCTAAACAGTTTTGCACTCAGTTTTGCAGGTACGTTTTCACACCTACCGCTGCCGGTCTTCGTTGGCCACAGCAGCAGTGGCAGGTCTGTGGCCCCCTGCCTCTTTCTTCCGCGCTGAGAAACTATATGTTAGTAGCGATACCAGGAGCCCTTAGTAGCAAAACCAGGGGCCCTAGTAGCATTCTTTGTGACTGAAAACCTTAGGCACAGGTGTGGACACACACACAGAGAAGCTTTCAGGACAGAAAGAAACCCACTCTGCCACAGTCACTCCAGAGGGCAACTCCCTGTCTCTCACAGAGACGCTCCTCCAGAAATAGGCAGAAGAGCTTTCATACAAGCGCAGAAGCAGCAGCAGCCTTCTTCAGAGGGCCTCTTTCACTTCAACAGTCTTGCAAAGGGCACCCCCTTATGAGGGCAATCTCATCTCCGATCGGGTCCTGCTCCAGCATGATCTGGTCTTGAATGCGGCTTCCTGCAGAAGTTCATGATGTCGAGTCAGCGTCATCGAAGCGGGCGACGGCGACGACGAGCATTCCGTTTCGATAAAACGACTGAAAATACCCAAGATCCTACCTACTGTTTCCCGGGTCAAGACATCTTGGTCGTCTTGAGTGGTAGCTTCAATGATGCTCACTTTGTCTAGAGTTGTATTCTCAACAGCTTGCGCCAAGGCAACTCGCTCACGGCGTAGTTCCGTTGGCAACTCATCAATGAACGAACAACACTGTTTGCGCCACAATCGATGAGTCGAACGGCTTGACCCCCTGTTATCGGTTGATTCACGCGGGCAATCTTCAGGCTTGAACTGTGGCTTCTCTTCCCTTGCTCGGTGGTGGAATGCCCACAACGCAAACATGCGTGTGCGACGAATCGTGCATCCCGTGCTCTGGCAGTTCTGGCCGCCTTTGCTGAACCCTTCTTGGCGCTACCAGGCAACACGGGTGGTGGTTGAACAAGGTCATCACGAAGGTAAATCTCACCTCTAAATTCAAACAATTGGTCAACCCATTGCACATACTGCTGGATTCCGGGGGCACGAGATGACTCTTTCTTTGCCCAAACATAAAGCGGTGGCTGTCGATGCAAAACATCCCAGTACAGGTTTTCCCCTTGAATTGTCCGTCCGATCTGAAACACAGTGTCGAATGTCATGGGGGCTCGACCGACGACAGTGTCACACGAGTTCCTGAGTCGGATGAGGTGGCATCATTTGCACGGACCATGGACGACTGTGCCTGCGACGGGCGGGGACGTGAACCCTTACCACACGTTCCGGGTCGGAAGGCCATCATGGGAGTGGCGGCAGCTACATACACAAACCTTTCATTTTCTGATGAATCACTCTCATAGGCTAGGTTGGCAGTCGGAGTTGTCTTCGGGGTTGTTGTTGCTTGCTTGCAAAACTTGCAACCAGGGTCACCTGCCCAATGTCCAATGCCTCCACAGCGAAGATACTTTGACTTGGACTTCAATGCACGAAGCTTGGCACGGCGTTGCTCAATGCTCATCTGGCTTCGGACAAGATGTTGCCTTTGCCTTTAAAGCCTTTCTTGCCAAAACCTTTACCTTTGCCTTTGGCCTTGCCGAATGCATTGAACGCAGCGAGCTGGAGTTGGATGGCTTCTCCTGCTTGGCGATCGTCGGCCTCTTCTAGGTCCAACATTGCGTTCAAGGCAAGCCTTCTTCATCTTCAAGATAATAGAACTCCTGCTCTTGCTCTTCTTCCTCATCAAACCCATCCCAACCAGGCATGGGAGTCGCCTTCATCGAAGTTGGTCTCAAATTGTTTCTTCCATGGCTTCCCATGTCGACGACGAATGCTCATCCACTTCAGGGTATGAGACATAGTATAGGCAGAGCGGTATGTTGATTTGCCCTTTCCTGAATGCTGGTTCGAATAGCTCTTGCCCTTCCAAGACATCGGTGAATTGCCATGTCTTGCCACCTTTTGTGAGGTGAACTCCTGAATAGTGATCAATGAGAACCTTGCAGTATCCCTCGAAGTTCTTGGGTGTTGCACAAGCTTTGGTTACAAGGATCTCCTGGGAGACAAGCCTGACAGTCCGAGCAACAACTCGGCACGAAGGCAGTCACTCAGCATCATGGTCGAGTCCAAGCGATTGCGCTCGTTCGTGTAGGACAACATGGATTCTCCGGCTTGGCGAGCTAGAGGTCCTCCGTGCTTTTTCCCAGCAGGGAACAATTCCTGTTCCTCCTCGGTGGCACGTGGAAACACGAAGCTTTCATCTTCTGCAGCAAATCTTCCAATCCCTCTTCGTTGGTTAGGGCATCAAGTCCGACGTCCCTTGCCAAGAGGAAGGCATCTCCACGCAATCCTTCGAGGATCTTGTTCACAGAATCGTGCTAATGTCTGGCTTGGTCAGGACTATTTCCTCTTCTTCACCTTCGGCATCTCTGGCTTCTTCGACGATGGGGACGACGACGGGGTGCTTTTCCGGGGCGCGGCGTCTCCATAGTAGATAGATGTACGAACCAGATTTGGTCTCCAAATGAGTAAGTACCTCCTGCTGAGTTCTTGCCGGGTCGGTCGCTGGACATTCCGTCTCTCTGGCCTCAACAGGCAATTTCAAGAACACTCGGTTGCAAGTTCTCGGACAGAATTGCACGAACGAATCCTGGATCAGCTTTACGGGATTTATCCGGATGCAGTGGGACGTACCCGAACCTGCTCCGCTACCAGTGTGAAAGTGCACCCGATTTCGCCGTCCGATATGCTTTTCTGCGCGTGCGTCAGCGCGGTCAGCTCAAGGGCCCTGTGAACCCAAATGGCAGCAGAATGTACCATGGACAGAACTCGGCTGTACACCACGTCCGTCAAACAGGGAAAATTCACACACACACATACATAATATATATATATATATACACGTAAAAGCGCGTAAATTCGGAAGTCGATGAATATTTCAGTCGTCCTCATTTCTGGGTATTGAGCCACAGGCCCTCAAAGCCATTCGTAATTACAGTTGTCTCAAGCAAACTTACTTCGAATGTGGGACTGTCAAACAACTTGCGGTCACGGTGACCATGATCCCTTTACTATGTATTAAAAAGATATGTGATTATCTATCTTTTATATATATATATATATGTGTGTGTGTTATACATCCGTTTCAATGTGCCTCCACTCCTTTCTCCCCTGAATTTGGTGCCAATTTGGGACTCAAATTAGAATAACACACACACACCCTCCAACTGGAGAGCTGAGCTCAACCTGGCCCAGGCTCCAAGATCTTCGGCGCCAAGCTGGACATCCGCGCCGATCTGAGCGGCTGCCGATCGGCACCTGTGGCGATCGGCGGCGAATGTAGTGCAGTCCCGTCACTCGAAACAAGACCGTCCCAGAAGAAACATACAGGAAGAACGTCCAATCAAAGCAAATTCAGCAGAAAAACATTCATTCAGGACCACTCCGCAACAACGCGAATTACAGGGAAGATTGTTCAACAAATGGGTTGCCCCCGTCCCATGCACCCCTTCCCGGGGTGAACCGCTGCGTAAATGGGTGTGACTATCCCCAAAACTCATAATGTCATAAGCGGTGTTTTTGCATGTCTTTGCGGTGTTTGCGTGCGTAGCACATGGCGCAGGTGCCGCTTCAAAGCACATGTCGTTCCACAGATTTGGACATGTGCGTTGTGT